GCTAGTTGGCCTTGAAGAAGTGTTTGAATGCTGTTTTTATAGTCTGGAGATGTAATCAGAAGTAGGCTGATGTAGGCCGCACTCATATCAAAGGTATTAAGTGTCACTCGTGCTAAGTTGACTAGCATTAGCTTGCTTTCCAGAGCCTGTATTTATCAAGCATCTCAGAGTAGGTTGCTGATCTAGGATCAGGTCCTCCCTGTCCATAATTTAAAAGGCAAAACTGATCCTTCCCCCAAGGTGCTTGAAAAATATGGCCTAGGACTAACCCATGCATCTGGGTCAGCTGCAAAATCTGGCAACCCAGCAGCAGTGCAGTGATCAGAGGCTGATTTGAGTGTGTCCTCTGTTGTCTTCCATCAGGGTTACCATTCACACCATGTCCCCCTCAAGGCTGTAATGAGAAGAGCCAGTGACAGGAATTAAGACAGGCCCCTGTCCCTAATGAGCTAAACACAGACATCAGATTGGACTCAGCAGGGAGCTGACACACACACACAGGCACACACCAAACACCACGGTCATGTTCAGTATAGGCAAAAGTCGCAGATAGAAATGTCATGAATAGAGCTGATGTGATCCCTTTTTCTATACGTCAAAGAGGCATGTTCATTTTATATATATTTCTTGAATAGTCATGAATAGAGCTGTCATGATCTCTCATTCTACATGTCACAGAGGTGTGTTTGTTCTACAATGATACGTTTCTATCTGAATGTTTTCTGCTGAATGCAGCCCCCATAGGAAAGGGTTGTAGCAGATTTGCCCCCAGGCCAAGCCCCTGATAACATGGGGCTGTAAGACCAGACATACTCTACCTGACAGAAAACCCATTGTGTTCTATGGATATGTGAATTAATCCAGGGATTTGTATGTCTTTCTGTCTGAAGGCCATTGGGGGAATAATCAGTAGCTCAGAGAACCATGTAAAGACTGTTTTGGTTGAGAGTGTCCTTTCGGAAGCTTGAGAGCGACATGTGATTCAACTCCATGCCTGGAGGGCAAAAACACGCCCGTTTTCACAAAGAGTGCTGTCTAGGATCAGTTTTGCCTTTTGCATCCAAATGATTGAGGGGAGATCTGTTTCTAGATCAGCACTCCTACTGATGTTTTGTGAATACAGGCCCTGGTTTTCAATATTTTTTTCTAGTCAGGGACTGGTCCAGACCTGGCATACCAAGTGAATGGACTCTGGCCAATTAGTGACATGAATCAATCAGTAAACTATACTGAACAAAAATATAAACGCAACATGTAAAGTATTAGTCCCATGTTTCATGAGCTGAAATAAAAGATCCCAGAAATGTTCCATGTGCACAAAAAGCTTATTTCTCTCAAATGTGCACAAATTTCTCCTTTGCCAAGGAAATCCATCCACCTGACAGCTGTGGCATATCAATAAGCTGATTAAACAGTATGATCATTACACAGGTGCACCTTGTGGACAATAAAAGGCCAGATGTCTCAAGTTTTGAGGGAGCGTGAAATTGGCATGCTGACTGCAGGAATGTCCAACCGAGCTGTTGCCAGAGAATTGAATGTTAATTTCTCTACCATAAGCCGCCTCCAACATCTTTTTAGAGAATTAGGCAGTAGGTCCAACCGGGCTCACAACCACAGACCACGTGTAACCACACCAGCCCGGGACCCTCCACATCCGGCTTCTTCACCTGCGGCATCGTCTGAGGAGTATTTCTGTCTGTAATTAAGCTATTTTGTGGGGGGAAACTATTTCTGATTGGCTGGGCCAGGCTCCCCAGTGGGTGGGCTTGGCTCCCAAGTGGGTGTGCCTATGCCCTACTAGGCCCACCTATGGCTGCGCCCCTGCCCAGTCGTGAACTCCATAGATTAGGGCTTAATTAATTAGCATGTTGCATTTATATTTTTGTTCGGTATATGTGAGAGAAAATAAAACAAAATATTTTAGGGGTCAGATAAGTTCAGAGTAGGGTGAAGTTGCCCCTAGATGCTGACCCTGGGTCCGTTTTGCATTTCCCCCACTAATGATTAAGGTTAGGATGGGGGATGGGAAACTGATCCTAGATCTGTACCTAGGGGAAACTTCACCCCAGGGCTACACACTCTCACCTCTGTCTGTCAGAAAGCATGTTGTATCAGTTCAGAATACATACTGTATAGTAATACCAATTAATCAGTGGTGTAAAGTACTTAAGTAAAAATACTTGAAAGTACTACTTAAGTAGTTTTTTGGGGTATCTGTACTTTACTTTTACTTCACTACATTCGTAAAGAAAATGATGTACTTTTTACTCCATACATTTTCCCTGGGAACCAAAAGTACTCGTTACATTTTAAATTGTTAGCAGGACAGGAATATTGTCTAATTCACACACTTATCAAGAGAACATCCCTGGTCATCCCTACTGCCTCTGATCTGGCGGACTCATTAAACACATGCTTCATTTGTAAATGATGTCTGAGTGTTGGAGCGTGCCCCTGGCTATCCTTACATTTAAAAAACAAGAAAATGGTGCCGTCTGGTTTGCTTAATATAAGGAATTTGAAATGATTTATACTTTTACTTTGATACTTAAGTATATTTGAGCAATTACATTTATATTTAATACTTAAGTATATTTAATACCAACTACTTTTAGACTTTTACTCAAGTAGTATTTTACTGGGTGACTTTCACTTTTATTTGAGTCATTTTCTATTAAGGTATCTTTACTTTTACTCAAGTATGACAATTGGGTACTTTTTCCACCACTGCAATTAATCATCATCTCAACCACATTGCCAACTTACAAACACACCCACTGCATTAACTCACTCTAGCAAATTATCACCCTGCATTATCACCAACCATTAACCACTGTACCAGAGGTAAAGGCACTAATGAACGTGTGGGAGTGAGTTTGGTTTGTATGTGTGTGTAATAGTGTTTGTGTGAGCGATGGGTACTGTTTCTCTGCTGTGAATTGGAACCACTAACGTGCGTGTGTGTGTGCGCGCGCACACGTACAGTGGGGAGAACAAGTATTTGATACACTGCCGATTTTGCAGGTTTTCCTACTTACAAAGCATGTAGAGGTCTGTAATTTTTATCATAGGTACACTTCAACTGTGAGAGACGGAATCTAAAAAATTTCTAGAAAATTACATTGTATGATTTTTAAGTAATTAATTTGCATTTTATTGCATGACATAAGTATTTGATACATCAGAAAAGCAGAACTTAATATTTGGTACAGAAACCATTGTTTGCAATTACAGAGATCATACGTTTCCTGTAGGTCTTGACCAGGTTTGCACACACTGCAGCAGGGATTTTGGCCCACTCCTCCATACAGACCTTCTCCAGATCCTTCAGGTTTCGGGGCTGTCGCTGGACAACACGGACTTTCAGCTCCCTCCAAAGATTTTCTATTGGGTTCAGGTCTGGAGACTGGCTAGGCCACTCCAGGACCTTGAGATGCTTCATACGGTGCCACTCCTTAGTTGCCCTGGCTGTGTGTTTCGGGTCGTTGTCATGCTGGAAGACCCAGCCACGACCCATCTTCAATGCTCTTACTGAGGGAAGGAGGTTGTTGGCCAAGATCTCGCGATACATGGCCCCATCCATTCTCCCCTCAATACGGTGCCGTCGTCCTGTCCCCTTTGCAGAAAAGCATCCCCAAAGAATGATGTTTCCACCTCCATTCTTCACGGTTGGGATGGTGTTCTTGGGGTTGTACTCATCCTTCTTCTTCCTCCAAACACGGCGAGCGGAGTTTAGACCAAAACGCTCTATTTTTGTCTCATCAGACCACATGACCTTCTCCCATTCCTCCTCTGGATCATCCAGATGGTCATTGGCAAACTTCAGACAGGCCTGGACATGCGCTGGCTTGAGCAGGGGGACCTTGCGTGCGCTGCAGGATTTTAATCCATGACGGCGTAGTGTGTTACTAATGTTTTTCTTTGAGACTGTGGTCCCAGCTCTCTTCAGGTCATTGACCAGGTCCTGCCGTGTAGTTCTGGGCTGATCCCTCACCTTCCTCATGATCATTGATGCCCCATGAGGTGAGATCTTGCATGGAGCCCCAGACCGAGGGTGATTGACCGTCATCTTGAACTTTTCCATTTTCTAATAATTGCGCCAACAGTTGTTGCCTTCTCACCAAGCTGCTTGCCTATTGTCCTGTAGCCCATCCCAGCCTTGTGCAGGTCTACAATTTTATCCCTGATGTCCTTACACAGCTCTCTGGTCTTGGCCATTGTGGAGAGGTTGGAGTCTGTTTATTGAGTGTGTGGACAGGTGTCTTTTATACAGGTAACGAGTTCAAACAGGCGCAGTTAATACAGGTAATGAGTGGAGAACAGGAGGGCTTCTTAAAGAAAAACTAACAGGTCTGTGAGAGCCGGAATTCTTACTGGTTGGTAGGTGATCAAATACTTATGTCATGCAATAAAATGCAAATTAATTACTTACAAATCATACATTGTGATTTTCTGGATTTTTGTTTTAGATTCCGTCTCTCACAGTTGAAGTGTACCTATGATAAAAATTACAGACCTCTACATGCTTTGTAAGTAGGAAAACCTGCAAAATCGGCAGTGTATCAAATACTTGTTCTCCCCACTGTATGTGTGTGTGATGCGTGCGTGCACGTGTGTGGAGGGTCTATGTGTATAATAGATTATTTTTCTGTGTCTTGCTGAGTGGAAGTGTGAACACATTTGGCTGCGGTGTGAACTAGACTCTGCTGTTTGGTTCCAAACATGAAGCCCTGAGTCCACTCCTTCTCTCTTCCCTCCACTCCTTCTCTCCCCTCCCCTTCTCTCTCCCCTTCTCTCCCCTCCACTCCTTCTCTCCCCTCTTATAGTTTCTCCACTAATGTGTGGCCTCCTGCTCAACTAGAAATAGTTCCTTTCCTAATCTCTGCTGAGTCTAATGTTGGTTTATGAACCGCCACACTGTTTTGAATCCCAAATGAAAAAACATCTTACCAATCTGTCTCTCTCTTTCTCTCTCAATCCCCCTCTCCCTCCCCAGGTTTGGCAAGAAAAAGGAGGCGAAGAGCAAGGCGGAGGTGAAGGCTGCCAAGCAGAAGTTTGAGGTTCTGAGCGAGGAGGAGCTGGACAAGATTGAGGAGAGAGTGAGGTGAGCTCACACTGTTTGGCCTGTTGCCTGTGTGTATATCAATCAATGGTCTGTCTGTCTCTGTCTTCCTGTCTGTCGGTCTGTCACTCTCTGTCTCCACACGCCATCATTCAAACGCCACTCTATAACATACAGTGGGGAAAAAAAGTATTTAGTCAGCCACCAATTGTGCAAGTTCTCCCACTTAAAAAGATGAGAGGCCTGTAATTTTCATCATAGGTACACGTCAACTATGACAGACAAAATGAGAAAAACAATCCAGAAAATCACATTGTAGGATTTTTAATGAATCTATTTGCAAATTATGGTGGAAAATAAGTATTTGGTCAATAACAAAAGATTCTCAATACTTTGTTATATACCCTTTGTTGGCAATGACACAGGTCAAACGTTTTCTGTAAGTCTTCACAAGGTTTTCACACACTGTTTCTGGTATTTTGGCCCATTCCTCCATGCAGATCTCCTCTAGAGCAGTGATGTTTTGGGGCTGTCGCTGGGCAACACAGACTTTCAATTCCCTCCAAAGATTTTCTATGGGGTTGAGATCTGGAGACTGGCAAGCCACTCCAGGACCTTGAAATGCTTCTTACGAATCCACTCCTTCGTTGCCCGGGCGGTGTGTTTGGGATCATTGTCATGCTGAAAGACCCAGTCATGTTTCATCTTCAATGCCCTTGCTGATGGAAGGAGGTTTTCACTCAAAATCTCACGATACATGGCCCCATTCATTCTTTCCTTTACACGGATCAGTCGTCCTGGTCCCTTTGCAGAAAAACAGCCCCAAAGCATGATGTTTCCACCCCCATGTTTCACAGTAGGTATGGTGTTCTTTGGATGCAACTCAGCATTCTTTGTCCTCCAAACACGATGAGTTGAGTTTTTACCAAAAAGTTATATTTAGGTTTCATCTGACCATATGACATTCTCCCAATCCTCTTCTGGATCATCCAAATGCACTCTAGCAAACTTCAGATGGGCCTGGACATGTACTGGCTTAAGCAGGGGGACACGTCTGGCACTGCAGGATTTGAGTCCCTGGTGGCGTAGTGTGTTACTGATGGTAGGCTTTGTTACTTTGGTCCCAGCTCTCTGCAGGTCATTCACTAGGTCCCACTGTGTGGTTCTGGGATTTTTGCTCACCGTTCTTGTGATCATTTTGACCCCACGGGGTGAGATCTTGCGTGGAGCCCCAGATCGAGGGAGATTATCAGTGGTCTTGTATGTCTTCCATTTCCTAATAATTGCTCCCACAGTTGATTTCTTCAAACCAAGCTGCTTACCTATTGCAGATTCAGTCTTCCCAGCCTGGTGCAGGTCTACAATTTTGTTTCTGGTGTCCTTTGACAGCTCTTTGGTCTTGGCCATAGTGGAGTTTGGAGTGTGACTCTTTGAGGTTGTGGACAGGTGTCTTTTATACTGATAACAAGTTCAAACAGGTGCCATTAATACAGGTAACGAGTGGAGAACAGAGGAGCCTCTTAAAGAAGAAATTACAGGTCTGTGAGAGCCAGAAATCTTGCTTGTTTGTAGGTGACCAAATACTTATTTTCCACCTACAATGTGATATTCTGGATATTTTTTTCTCAATTTGTCTGTCATAGTTGACTTGTACCTATGATGAAAATTACAGGCCTCTCTCATCTTTTTAAGTGGGAGAACTTGCACAATTGGTGGCTGACTAAATACTTTTTTCCCCCACTGTATACATATACACAATATATGCCGTTTTTTGTCCAATCCCATCAAGTTAATGTGAGTTTGATTCAGACAGTGAGTGACAGTATCCATCCCCTCTTATGTTACCGACAGACATGATCTCCGTAACATGGAGGTGCGGGACGGCCACGTGACCCCTGACCCCCTGCCACCCGACATGGAGGACGACGACCAGGACCCCAACTACGCCCGCATCAACACCTTTCGGGAGCCCCCCAAGGGCCCCTCGCCCTCCTACCTCAGCCGCACCCCTTCTCCCCAGCGGGCCCTCGGGGGACCACCCCCCGCCGGACCCTCACACAGCCGCCAGCCATCTGCCGAGGACTTAGAGGGGCTCTATGCCAAGGTCAACAAGCAGAGAGCCCCGCCCTCGACTTCCACGTCCCAGCTTCAGCCCCCTCTGAGCGACAGGTGAGTTGATCCAAAAACCAGGAAAACACTCCCTCACAGTGCACTCCAATGTATGGCCTTGAGGTGCTATAGTAGGTCATAATCCCACTATGGGGTCAATGGGATTGGGCAAGCATGGGGGGATATTTTGTTATCTTTGTTGCCTTCAAAGATGCACTTAAAAACAGAAATATCCATGATAGATAATGTATTTAGGTCTATGTTTTATTGAATTATTTCACTTATTTGACTATATATTTCTAATATGTTGCCTCCACTTTGGTTTCGGAGATGTTACGTGTAGGATAACCACACACGTATAGCTAACAACCCAACACACAGCCGTGCATGCATAATTTATGAGCATACTGTAGCATTTCTCAGCATGAGTGTTTAGGGTCCGCAGACCCTCAAGCTTTGCCCGAAGCAAACATTTAAAGTATGCTGTTTAGAATCATTAAGGAGGTGTTGTCATTTCAAAGAGATAGAGGTAACAAACAATCTCTACACCAGAACAATTGTCAAAGCCTGTTCTCTCTGCTACCGCACGGCAAGCAGTACTAGTGCACCAAGTCTGGAACCAACAGGATCCTGAACAGCTTCTACCCCCAAGCCATAAGACTGCTAAACAAGACTGCTACATAGCTAATCAAATGGCTACCCGGACTACCTGCATTGACCCTTTTTTGCACTAACTCTCTTGCACTGACTCTGCACACACACTGGACCGTACCCACACACTCACACATACTTACAGTGAAACCTCAACACACACACACTACATACGCCCACACATACAGTAGAACGCACACACATGTATACTGACGCCACACACACACACACACACACACACACACACACACACACACACACACACTCACCACATATGCTGCTGCTACTGTCTCTTTTCTACCCTGTTGCCTAGTCACTTTACCTATATGTGCATAGCTACCTCAATTACCCCGTACCGCTGCACATCGACTCGGTACTGGTACTCCCTTTATATAGCCATGTTATTTTTTACTCGTTATTGTTATTCATTATTCACTGTGTATTTCTTCTTCATGTCACTATTTACATGTTCTTTTTCTTTTTCTTTATCTTAACTCTGCATTGTTAGAAAAGGACCCATAAGTAAGCATTTCACTGTTAGTCTACACCTGTTTACGAAGCATATGACAAATAAAATCGTATTTTATTTGAAAGTTAGAGAGATACAGAGACCGAGAGGGAGGGATGGGAAAGGAAGAGATTGATTGCTACGAAGGGAACGAGTCAGACAGAGAGAGGGGGAAAAAAGGGGAGGATAATTAGCCACAGTCTAGCAGCTTGACAGATCAGTTAGACTCCTCCGCCGGTGTCTCCTCCGCTCTCCTCTAACTGGACACTTAATTACTCTGTTCTTCTTTCCTCTTCTTTCTAATTCTCCCTCTTACTTTCTCACATTCCCTTTTTATTTTTCTCACTCTCTCTTTCTCCCTCTCTCCTCTCCTCTCCATGCTCGACTACAGCAGCATGATCTGAACGCTCCATATTCTACTGACATTTGTAATGGATGACGAATTCGAGCTATCAACAGCATAACATGATCAACTTAGTCTGGTTGGAATTGACTGTATAATAGTTTAGTTACGCCATATAGTCCTGGGTTCCAACCACACACACATTTACAGACTTACAACACACATCTGCTTGCGAAACGCACCCATTCATTGATTCATTCATGCATATGGACACACAGCTTTGCCGACACACACTCAAACCCGCTCAGTGGTTTTGCAACGAAGCCTTTTTGTAACCTAGCAACACTCCAGTCTAGAATCCAATGCCGCTTTTAGAGGACCAATTTGGATAGGGGAGAATTATATTATATTGTGGCTTCATTTGTGTGTCAGGTGTGTGTGTGTGTGTGTACACGTCTGTGTGTGTACGTATGTGTGCGTACACGTGTGTGTGCATACAGGCCTACGTGTGTGCACATGCTCAGTAGTGGTGCCTCATCCTCCTCCCTCACCTGTCAGAGAGGAGCAAGTTGACTCTTGGTGTGTCTACATAATTTAGCGCTGGAAATGTTTTCATTAGGACTTCGATGGCAGGTGCGTCCATGAATGGGCGTCACATTTGATTACAGTGACACTAGGGGCTGACCTGTGTAGAAAAAAAGTTACCTACGCTTGTCAAATATTATTAGAGAAAAGGTAATCTAGTCTCTCCACAGACCAGGGAAAGGGAGGAAAAGAGGGGAGGAAAGAGGGAGCAAAGAAAATAGTCACCTGAGGAGTTTCTTATAAAGCCATGTTGCTTATGTATCGTATTTCAATGTAGTTAAATAAAGAATATGAACGTCAGAATACAAAGTATATAGCCCTAATCTTAGACACTAGTCCATCTGCAACCCATAAGGACAGTATGCACTAGTGATGTCAGTAGGAAAGACAGGCAGATGGTGTGGGTTGGAGTTCTCCAGAACTATGCTGACAGAATCGTTGTGCACATGCACCATTGCCCTCTCAGCCATCATAATTGCAACGTTCCTCAACAGATGATCAATACAGCACCATTTCCGTTTACTTAAACTTTCCTTTCTCCTGAATGCAGCCCAGGTAGGTAGAAATCAAAGCTTCTTCCTCAGTGTGTCCGGTCTTCTCTTTGATGTGGGCAGTCAGAGACATTCCGAGTTCCGGTGGCCATAGTTCATTGGCCAAGTCTCCCTAATTAGTCCTCCTGAGGTTGGACACATACATACACAGGTTTGACAAACATCCCTGAGACCAAAGGGAATGGAAGGTTCTGAAAGTTCCGGCTCCCTCATCCCCCCTGGAAAAGAGGGAAAATTAATATCTTTACCCTTTACTGAACTTTCCACTGGCGCTCTGGGCTCCCTGGTGTCCGGCTGGCAAACAAGAGGAGAAATTAGCTTCTGATGACAACCTGGTCCCATGCTCCCACGCACACACACACACACAAATAATGGAAAATGGCGCCGACAGAGAGGGCTGCCTTGCTTCTAGCTTTTAGGAAACTTTGCAGCATTTTGTTTTTTTATGTATTATTTATTCCGTTATTAGCCCAGAAAATTGTTTGTGTTATTACATACAGCCGGGAAGAACTATTGGATATCAAAGTGGCGGTAACTCACCAGCACTACCAGCATTACGACCAGGAATAAGACTTTCCCGAAGCGGATCCTTTGTTCGCACCCCCCAGGGCAATTGAACTGATTCCAGAGGCCGACCCAAAAACAACGCCGGAGGAGAGGTACTCGGAGTGGTCTTCTAGTCTGACTTAGGAGGCGTGCACACCACCCACCGCTTCCGAGTATATTATTCGCTAATGTTCAGTCTCTGGATAACGACGGCCCTCAAAGAACTTCATTGGACTTTATGCAAACTGGAAACCACATATCCTGAGGCTGCATTTATTGTAGCTGGGGATTTTAACAAAGCAAATTTGAGGAAAAGGTTGCTTAAGTTCTATCAACACATCGACTGTAGTTACTCACGCTGCTAAAACACTCAACCACTGCTACTCCAACTTCCAGGATGCATACAAGGCCCTCCCCCGCCCTCCTTTTGGCAAATCTGACCACGACTCCATTTTGGCAGAATACAAACAGTGTAGTTATTCCCTCCGCAAGGCAATCAAACAGGCAAAACATCGCATTTCAACGGCTCAGACAAGAGACGTATGTGGCAGGGTCTACAGACAATCACGGACTACAAAGGGAAAACCAGCCACATCGTGGACACCGACGTCTTGCTTCCGGACAAGCTAAACACCTTCTTCGCCCGCTTTGAGGATAGTACAGTGCCACTGACGCGGCCCGCTACCAAGGACTGTGAGCTCTCCTTCTCCGTGGCCGACGTGAGTAAGACATTTAAACGTGTTAACCCTCGCAAGGCTGCCGGGCCAGGTGGCATCTCTAGCCGCGTCCTCAGAGCATGAGCAGACCAGCTGGCTGGTGTGTTTACGGACATATTCAATCTCTCCCTATCCAAGTCTGCTGTCCCCACATGCTTCATACTGGCCACCATTGTCCCTGTACCCAAGAAAGCAAAGGTAACTGAACTAAATGACTATCGCCCCGTAGCACTCACTTCTGTCATCATGAAGTGCTTTTAGAGACTAATCAAGGATCATATCACCTCTACCTTACCTGCCACCCTAGACCCACTTCAATTTGCTTACCGCCCCAATAGATCCACAGACGATGCAATCGCAATCACACTGCACACTGCCCTTTCCCATCTGGACAAGAGGAATACCTATGTAAGAATGCTGTTCATTGACTATAGCTCAGCATTCAACACCATAGTACCCTCCAAGCTCATCATTAAGCTCGAGGCCCTGGGTCTGAACCCCGCCCTGTGCAACTGGGTCCTGGACTTCCTGACGGGCCGCCCCCAGGTGGTGAAGGTAGGAAACAACACCTCCACTTTGCTGATCCTCGACACTGAGGCCCCACAAGGGTGCGTGCTCAGCCCCCTCCTGTACTCCCTGTTCACCCATGACTGCGTGGCCAAGCACGCCTCCAACTCAATAATCAAGTTTGCAGACAACACAACAGTAGTAGGCTTGATTTTCCAACAATGACGAGACAGCCTACAGGGAGGAGGTGAGGGCTCTGGGAGTGTAGTGCCAGGAAAATAACCTCTCACTCAACATGAACAAAACAAAGGAGATGATCAGGAAACAGCAGAGGGAACACCCCCCTATCCACATCGACGGGACCGCAGTGGAGAAGGTGGAAAGCTTCAAGTTCCTTGGCGTACACATCACTTACAAACTGAAATGGTCCACCCACACAGACAGTGTGGTGAACAGCTCCTCTTCAACCTCAGGAGGCTGAAGAAATTTGGCTTGGCACCTAAAACCCTCACAAACCTTTACAGATGCACAATTGAGAGCATCCTGTCGGACTGTATCACCGCCTGGTATGGCAACTGCACCGCCCGCAACCGCAGGGCTCTCCAGAGAGTGGTGCGGTCTGCCCAACGCATCACCGGGGGCAAACAACCAGCCCTCCAGGACACCTACAGCACCCGATGTCACAGGAAGGCCAAAAAGATAATCAAGGACAACAACCACCCGAGCCACTGCATGTTCACCCCGCTATCATCCAGAAGGCGAGGTCAATACAGGTGCATCAAAGCTGGGACCGAGAGACTGAAACACAGCTTCTATCTCAAGGCCATCAGACTGTTAAATATCCTTCACTAGCACATTAGAGGCTGCTGCTTATATACATAGATTAGAAATCACTGACCACTTTAATAAATGGAATACTAGTCACTTTAATAATGTTTACATATCTTGCATTACTCATCTCATATGTATATACTTTATTCTATACTGTTCTATTGTATCTTAGTCTATGCCGCTCTGACATTGCTCGTCCATATATTTATTAATTCCATTGCTTTACTTAGATTTGTGTGTATTGGGTATATGTTGTGACATTGTTAGATATTACTTGTTAGATATTACTGTACTGTCGGAGCTAGAAACACAAGCATTTCGCTACACCCGCAATAACATCTGCTAAACATGTGTATGTGACCAATAATTTGATTTGATTTGATTTTGACATAGACACACACACGTGCCTGCATAGACATGGTGCAGGTGGGTGGATCTGACCTCTAAGGCCAGCTGAATCACCAGTTCTGTACCCAAGAGAACTTCTCAGTAATCTTAGTATTTACCGAATGTCTGCTTTCTGCCCAAAGTGTATGCTTAATGGAGATCTAACCTCCCACAGTATTCTGTTAAACTGTTGAGGAAAGTAAAGAACCCTCTGCCCAGTGCCCACTAGGGTTGAATATTTTCCCGGTATTTTACAAATGTTCCATCCCGAGAATAAATCACTTTCCTCCCGGGTAACCCGGTATTTCCCGCCAAAACCGGAAGTGCTATTCAAAAGCATTATAAAGCATATTAATAGGCCTATGTCCGGATTTGATTAGAGCTTTGATCGAAAATTCAAGCCTGATGCTACCTGAGCCTGATGAGCCATACATTAAATACATTTTATGAGCCCTACATTAAAGACATTTAATGAGGCCAAGCCCAAAAAAGGCCAAATGATTGTGCCGTTATCCAATACATACAGTGGGGAGAACAAGTATTTGATACACTGGCGATTTTGCAGGTTTTCCTACTTACAAAGCATGTTCTCCCCACTGTATATGATATAGGCTACTACATATTACACACAACAGAAAAACAGAAAAGGCCATAGATGTAGCTAGCTATATGCTCTCTTGGGTAAATAAATGAAACTAGATCTACGTGCATTGTGAACTGCGCTCCATACTGAGATGGGCGGTCTGTCCCCACCCTCAGCGTTGATTCATCATGCAGAGGCCGTAGAGATGCCAGATTTAGACATTGCATATAATTTAACAGTTCCATTGCATGCCATGCTGTTCATATACATAATTTATTATAATTTATCGGTTTCTTGCAGTTATTTATCCTAGGAAAAGGGAGTGGTTTTGGGCGGTAAATCTCGGTAACCGGGTTCCTGCCATTCAACCCTAGTGCCCACTACCTTCTCTCTCTCCCCCTTGATACTTCAAAGTACTTTCAGTAGCAGTTCCTATAGGTGCACTGAATTGTTAGGAATTTAAAACTAGTCAAGGTGTGGAGAAATGCTGGATGCAAGAGCAATATATTTAAGTGTCTTATTAAACAAAAATGTGGCACAGGGGCACCAAAACTACACTTCTGCAAGGTTCGTAATAATCTGTCACCCTATACATCACGTGTCAAACTCATTACACGGAGGGCCTAGTGTCTGCAGGTTTTCACTCCACCCTTGTAGTTGATGGATGAATTAAGATCACTAATTAGTAAGGAACTCCCCTCAACTGGTTGTCTAGGTCTTAATTGAAAGGGAAAATCAAAACCCGCAGACACTCGGCCCTCCGTGGAATGAGGTTGACACCCCTGCTCAGGAGGGAAGGGCGGACCTAAGTACTCTTCCTTATCTGTTCGTTGTTTCATCCTTCCGTGCCTAGTTCCAAAACGTTCAATCACGGCTGAGACCTGGGGGTTTAATAGACTATACTATATATTCTTAATCGCTTAAGGACACCCATGGCCGATTTTATGGCTCAGGGGCCCAGATACCAATTACTAAGACTTGCTTTACGGTAACCTCTGACCTTAGAGAGGGTACCTAGAGACCAAATTCCAATAGGGAATAATCATCAAAATAGGGTTCTTAACAGAATGAATGGGGAGTCATTTAGTAGGAATGTGCTGAACCTTTACATGGGCTGCGTCTAAAATGGCACCCTATTCCCTAAAAGTAGTGCACGACATAGTGCAGGGCTGCTCAACCCTGTTCCTGGAAAGCTACCCTCCTGTAGGTTTTCACTCTATCCCCAGTTGCAATTAACATGAGCTTATCAACCAGTTAATTGTTAGAATCAGGTGTGCTAGATTAGGGTTGGAGCAAAAACCTACAGGAGGGTAGCTTTCCAGGAACAGGGTTGAGCAGCCCTGCACTATGTCGTGCACTACTTTTAGGGAATATGGTGCCATTTTGCACTTACCCATGATCTCTCTTCTGAGAAAGAATGTCATGACTTGCTGCCCTGCAGTTTCAGCACAAGGCCTAATAGTATTTATTTATTTATGCAACACTGATATCTGGAGGGTCTCCGATGTGCCGGGGAACTTAGCTACATCATTATAGTAATTAGAATGTTTTTTCATTACGAGAGACGACATGCACGCTCAATCAAGATGGCAGCCCTAATGACGGTCCGAGGACTGCATTAATGGGTTTTTGAAAATGTGTTCGTTCTCTGCTCTGTATGTCCCTGCTCAGCTGCTGTAGCTACTGAGGTAGGAGGGGGGGGGGGGATTTGATGGGTGAAAGGAATGGTCCATATTTTAAACATCCTCACATTAAACAGTGAAGTCCTCAATTTCAAAACAAACAACATCAACGATGATATGTGAAGAACGAGGGTCTGTCTTATTTTAGGGCCGAGTCCTAATTTGGACCTTCTTGTAAATTGTGCATTTAAATCAATGGAAGAATTGGGTGAGATATCGAGTTACGTGTCTACATTTCAAATTGGTATTGGGCCTTGAGTGGTGTTAGCTGCAGGGTATTGGGCCCTGAGTGGTGTTAGCTGTAGGGTATTGGGCCCTGAGTGGTGTTAGCTGTAGGGTATTGGGCCCTGAGTGGTGTTAGCTGCAGGGTATTGGGGCCTGAGTGGTGTTAGCTGCAGGGTATTGTGTTTGTCTGTGTGTCCGTTTGATTGTGTGGCAGGTGAGGGACTGCAGCTCTGTCTGTCTGTACCTCTGTGTATCAGGCTGGGCTGGGTTGGGTAGAGAGAGAGAGAGTCTGCATATCAATCGATGTCTGCCTCTGTCTGTCCCCATTGCCTGGAGGTAGGATGAATTAGAACAACACATACACATACCTCTTGTCAGCGCACCACCAGAGCACCAGCCAGGCCTGCTAATTAAGGCCATGGTCGTTAAAGGAACTTTTAGCATGTGTGCCTGTGCTGGTTCCCCTCTAATGAAGCTCTCACTCCTGCCCAGAATCAATGCCTGCCGTGGGTCACATCATTAGTATGAGTGGGAGAGGTTGGGAGTCTAGTTTGTTTGTGCATTTCGTGGGTGTGTGTGAGTGTGTACATAAATTAGTATATTTGCGCGTGTGTGTGGGTTAGCAAATTTTGCTCTTTCTCGCTCTCGCTCTATCTCATCTTATATTGGTCTGTAGTCTCTTTCCATGTCATACACAGTACAACATTTTGCATAGGGTTTGTATATGGTTCCTGTGTTATATGGTTCATGTGTCTGCCTGTGATTTTATCGGAACTCTTTCTCTCTCTTTATTTCTCTCTCTTTCTCTCAGTGAGCGTGTCCAGAAGCTCAGGAGAGAGCTCCAGCAGGCCCGTGCTGCGCCCGCCTACGAAGAGCTAGAGGTCACCCGCCGCAGAGCCCTCGACTACGACCCACCCCGAGTGAGTGTGTGCGTGTGTACATGAATGTGTGTGTGTCATCACTTGGAGTCCTCTGGCTCGCCTCCTGCTGTGTCTACGCAGATCAACCACCACAAGTGGTTTACACGCATCTTCTCAACAGAACATGGAGATTAACTCCATGATAATCCATACATTGAGTGCCCACTGCCTAGAGACACCAATTGTCTTTCTCTGGCTGCTTCCCAAATGGAAACCTATTCCCTATAAAGTGCATTACTTTTGACCTGAGCTCTGGTCAAAGAAGTGCACTAAATAGGGAATAGGGTGCCATTTGGGACACGCACGCTGGCTCTGAGAGAAAGGAGATCCTAAGCACACTATACACTAAGTGTACAAAACATACAGTGGGGAGAACAAGTATTTGATACACTGCCGATTTTGCAGGTTTTCCTACTTACAAAGCATGTAGAGGTCTGTAATTTTCTATCATAGTTACACTTCAACTGTGAGAGACGGAATCTAAAACAAAAATCCAGAAAATCACATTGTATGATTTTTAAGTAATTAATTTGCATTTTATTGCATGACATAAGTATTTGATACATCAGAAATTGCAGAACTTAATATTTGGTACAGAAACCTTTGTTTGCAATTACAGAGATCATACGTTTCCTGTATGTCTTGATCAGGTTTCCACACACTGCAGCAGGGATTTTGGCCCACTCCTCCATACAGACCTTCTCCAGATCCTTCAGGTTTCGGGGCTGTCGCTGGGCAATACGGACTTTCAGCTCCCTCCAAAGATTTTCAATTGGGTTCAGGTCTGGAGACTGGCTAGGCCACTCCAGGACCTTGAGATGCTTCTTACAGAGCCACTCCTTAGTTGCCCTGGCTGTGTGTTTCGGGTCGTTGTCATGCTGGAAGACCCAGTCACGACCCATCTTCAATGCTCTTACTGAGGGAAGGAGGTTGTTGGCCAAGATCTTGCGATACATGGCCCCATCCATCCTCCCCTCAATACGGTGCAGTCGTCCTGTCCCCTTTGCAGAAAAGCATCCCCAAAGAATGATGTTTCCACCTCCATGCTTCACGGTTGGGATGGTGTTCTTGGGGTTGTACTCATCCTTCTTCTTCCTCCAAACACGGCGAGTGGAGTTTAGACCAAAAAGCTCTATTTTTGTCTCATCAGACCACATGACCTTCTCCCATTCCTCCTCTGGATTATCCAGATGGTCATTGACAAACTTTAGACGGGCCTGGACATGCGCTGGCTTGAGCAGGGGGACCTTGCGTGCGCTGCAGGATTTTAATCCATGACGGCGTAGTGTGTTACTAATGGTTTTCTTTGAGACTGTGGTCCCAGCTCTCTTCAGGTCATTGACCAGGTCCTGCCGTGTAGTTCTGGGCTGATCCCTCACCTTCCTCATGATCATTGATGCCCCACGAGGTGAGATCCTGCATGGAGCCCCAGACCGAGGGTGATTGACCGTCATCTTGAACTTCTTCCATTTTCTAATAATTGCGCCAACAGTTGTTGCCTTCTCACCAAGCTGCTTGCCTATTGTCCTGTAGCCCATCCCAGCCTTGTGCAGGTCTACAATTATATCCCTGATGTCCTTACACAGCTCTCTGGTCTTGGCCATTGTGGAGAGGTTGGAATCTGTTTGATTGAGTGTGTGGACAGGTGTCTTTTATACAGGTAACGAGTTCAAACAGGTGCAGTTAATACAGGTAATGAGCGGAGAACAGGAGGGCTTCTTAAAGAAAAACTAACAGGTCTGTGAGAGCCGGAATTCTTACTGGTTGGTAGGTGATCAAATACTTATGTCATGCAATCAAATGCAAATTAATTACTTAAAAATCATACAATGTGATATTCTGGATTTTTGTTTTAGATTCCGTCTCTCACAGTTGAAGTGTACCTATGATAAAAATTACAGACCTCTACATGCTTTGTAAGTAGGAAAACCTGCAAAATCGGCAGTGTATCAAATACTTGTTCTCCCCACTGTATGTCTGTTTCCATGACATAGACTGGCCAGGTGAATCTAGGTGAAAGCTATGATCCTTATTGATGTCAACTGTTAAATCCACTTCAACGAAGGGGAGGGTGGAGTGTGGTTAAAGACAGGTTTAAGCCTTGAGACAATTGAGACATGGATTGTGTATGTGTGCCATTCAGAGGGTGAATGGGCAAGACAGAATATTTAAGTGCCTTTTGAAATGGGTATGGTAGTAGGTGCCAGGCACACTGGTTTGAGTGTGTCAAGAACTGCAACGCTGCTAGGTTTTTCACGCTCAACAGTTTCCCGTGTGTATCAAGAATGGTCCACCACCCAAAGGACATCCAACCAACTTGACACAACTGTGGGAAGCATTGGAGTCAACACAGGCCAGCATCCCTGTGGAACGCTTTCGACACCTTGTAGGGTCGATGCCCCAATGAATTGAGGCTGTTCTGAGGGCAAAAGGGGGTGCAACTCAATATTAGGAAGGTGTTCCTAATGTTTTGTACACTCAGTGTAGATCATTATATGGATTATTCCATAGGATATCACCAGGCGCTATTATCATATGGGACTGTAATGGTGTACTTATTCATTTCCCTTTGTGCGTATGGTAACTAAGGATGATTTTGCAACAGGCAATTGCAATAAGGTTGTGTGTGTGGGCGTATATGTTTGGGTGCACACATTGGCATGTTTTGCTCCCAATTGTGGAGCTGAGTCACAGACGATCCATATTTTCTTAGAGCCTGGCTGGGTTTGTTTGGAGCTCTCTCTTGTTAGCATTAAGTGTTCTACAGCACCCTCTCTCTATATCTATCTCTCTTTAAGTAAATAACCATTAGGGTGGTGACATTTTCATCTGATCTTTTTAGCGTTACTACTCAACCTAAACAAACATGCTCTCTTTCACTTTCCTCTCTCTGTCACTTCTGGTTTGTGTGTGTGAACCGTCTAATAACGTTATCCAAACACTGAGACAATTAAAACCTTATGATCCCCAGTTCTGTTTGATCCATCGAAGAACATTATTAAAACGCTAAAACAACCTAACGATGCCTCTTGGAATCGGTTGTTGTGTGTTCCATCAAATACCCTTATTCAAACATGTAGACAATTAGGAGGCAGTGAGTGGGAGGCAACTCGCCATGATCTGATTGTTAGTTGCAGTAGAAACAAACACAACGTCAACAGCACAGCTGTAGGTGCTTCCCCTGAGGCAGCTGCTTATGGAACATTATCATTTAAACAGAGACACCAATGAAATCACAGGCAGAGACAGAAGGCATATTGAGACCTATATACTGTATATCCCATATAGAATATGTGAGGTAAACCTTGAGAACAAAATGAAATACTGTAAGTTACGTGGAAAGAGACAGCAGACCAATAGAAGTTACAATATATACAGAGAAAGAGAGGGTGAGAAAATAGAATGCTTACAGAGAGAGAGAGAGAGAGAGAGAGAGAGAGAGATGTTTCAACGTTTCATTCAGTCTGCCAATTGTTGCGCCCATGTCTCCTTGCGTAGCCTATTTTGTGCCCTCCTTTCAGCTGTCTTTCTTTGCTCTTTTCAGCAGCCTAGTCTGGTCGCTTGAATGTTTTATAAAGATTTTATGACACTTGAGTATTGCGTTGCTGATACAAGGTCACACAAGGCCCATTCTTCCTTTATGTGCCTCGTACCGCGCTCTGAAAAATGGTTTCATTGAAAAGAATATAGAGCTACGTGTAGCGTTTCTCCATCTTTTTCAGTTTCACAGACAGACAATAACAGCAAACATAAAATACGGGTAGGTTTTTGTATGTGTCCTTTCTGTTTCATTGTTTGTCACTGTTTTGTCTTTAATGTTAAAAAGGGAGTACACAATCCTGCTTATTAACCTGCATACCTTATTTGTTTACTCCTGAATAAAACATAAAATACAATAAGGGAATTTAACCAACAAGATATTAGATAGCCCCCAATTCCCCATCCCCTGATAAAATATCTCCAACTTAATACGAATTAAACCATTCCACAGCTCTTTGAGGAGAAAAGCGCAGATTGTGAATTGATGCTTCATTCAAACCATTTATCCACACATTAAAGCTTTTTTCTCATCAAGATGAATATAGGTGTGTGTTTTGTGTGTTCTCTCTCTCCTTTTCATCCATGTTGTCAGTCTCAGTACACACCCACATATACCATCTGTCCAAGTACAGGGGCTACGTCCCAATTACAAGTACAGGGGCTACGTCCCAACTATTTTGACCAGGGCCCTATGGGCACTGGTCAAAAGGAAAGGGAAAGGGGATACCTAGTCAGTTGTAAAACTAAATGTGGCATCTGCATTTAACCCAACCCCTCTGAATCAGAGAGGTGCGGGGGCTGCCTTAATCGACGTTCACATCATCGGTGCCGGGGGAGCACTTGTTTTTGGGGGTTAATTGCCTTGCTCAAGGGTAGTGCACTATATAGGGAATACGGTGCCTTTTAGGACACAGCTCTAGAGGTTTTTATCCTGTCGAGGCATGATAATAATCCCAGAAACCCTAGACCCACTCCAATTTGCATACCGCCCCAACAGATCCACAGATGATGCAATCTCTATCGCACTCCACACTGCCCTTTCCCACCTGGACAAGAGGAACACCTACGTGAGAATGCTATTCATTGACTACAGCTCAGCATTCAACACCATAGTGCCCTCTAAGCTCATCACTAAGCTAAGGATCCTGGGACTAAACACCTCCCTCTGCAACTGGATCCTGGACTTCCTGACGGGCCGCCCCCAGGTGGTAAGGGTAGGTAACAACACATCTGCCACACTGATCCTCAACACGGGGGCCCCTCAGGGGTGCGTGCTCAGTCCCCTCCTGTACTCTCTGTTCACCCATGACTGCATGGCCAGGCACGACTCCAACACCATCATTAAGTTTGCCGACGACACAACAGTGGTAGGCCTGATCACCGACAACGATGAGACAGCCTATAGGGAGGAGGTCAGAGATCTGGCCGTGTGGTGCCAGGACAACAACCTCTCCCTC